AAATGAAAGTTAAAATGAAGACACCAACTGCAGAGGATGATAAAAAGGATGACAATAAAGGAAAACAATATGGCATTGAGGATGAGAACAATCATTTGGAATGTACGTACAAGGGATGACTGGAAACAAATGCTTGATCCAGGATTCGACTATGGCCTACTAAAAAAAAGAAAATAAAATACAAGTTTGCTGTAAGTGACAGTGAAAGTCATTTGATCATGCCATCATAAGAAACAACTTTGGACCTTGTCATTGAAAAAGAAAAGGAGAAGCCTAAAGGTGAATCACCTATGAAGACTATTGTTACAAAAACAAAAGTTGAAGCCACACAAGTTGAATTACCTGCCAAGACTGAGGTGGAATCCCATTTGAAGAATATAGTTGCAAAAACAAAAGTACTTATATCTTGGAGCGCTACCATGGTTTGGACCAAGATTGTTCACCCGTCGGATAGGCCTTCAATACAAGCTAGTGGTGGAGGAGGACAAGTGTGGAGTTGTCACACAATGCTTTGCTAGTGATCTTTGGTTTTAGCTCATCAGAGCGGACTTGATCATGACTGTTTGCATCCTGAACTCGTTGAAACCCTTAGGTTAACTGTTGACTTGATCATGACTGTTTGCATCCTGAACTCGTTGGTCATTGCAGCATGTTGTATGTCATTTTATATGAGTTCAAGGGAAGAACTTAAAAATTCAAAGAAAAGTCCAGCTGTGCTATGAGTGGTAAAACGAGAATAATGTCTTCCACATAATACAAGATTTAGTTTCACAAAATTCTTCAAAAAGCTGACTTCCGTATCTTTGCCATGATGTATGGACGAAACCCAGTTTGCTTTGAACAGGTCCAGATTAATCTGGGAAGTTGCTTGTGCTGCTGAGACACATTGCTTGTGCTAGCTTTCTGTTCAGTTTTTTGTGTGCTAGATTTGAGATCATTCTTTCTTCTAGAAAAATCTAAAAAAATAAGAACACGTGACTTGGAAAAATTGGTAAGGCCTTGAAATCTTCGTTTTCCCATAGCTGCTCAGTTCTGACGGCAATGAAGCTTCGATTATCTTCGTACGCAAAAATGAAAATATTGGATTTGCAAAAATTTTGGTACAGTGATCTTAAGCATCTTAGCTTTCATATCCAACTCGACTTGTATCAAAATTCATCTAGGAAGTCAATTTTTCGTTGAAAATCATTTAAGTGTGCAAATTGGGCTTTAGGCACGATTACATTGCATCTAGAGTTTTGCATGATGACTTAACCCAATATGAGTGTTGATGGACTCGAACTAAGTCACATGTAGACTTTAGATGAGAAGTCTATGAGTCGAACTTATGAAGAGGTGTTGGTCCGCACGAAACCAAACCTGCCTTTACTTCCTGATGCACATGGAACGAAACCTGCCTTTGCTTTCGTGTTGGTCCGCTTGAAATATGCCATCTTGACCTTCAAAATGTCCAAAACATAAAAAAACGTCAATCTAGGAAAGTTGTGGGCTGTGCCTTCTTTTGAAAATCAAACCACGGGTGTCGTTCTAAGAAAGAATGGTATGAACCATCCTTGACGAATAGCCTATGATGAGGTGTTAGGGAGATGACTTTTCCATGGATGTGTCTACGCATTGATAGTGGTGTAAGGGCCTTTGTTAGGCACAAAGAGAATATGTGTCCTGTAGAGAATAATAGACTTAGAGATAAGTCAGAAAAAAAGGAAAGAGATAGATTGATTGGCCCTAGAGATTGAGATGGATGTCGATGTCCTCCTAATAAATACTCAGGCTAGTATATTTATAGGGATCTTGCGAGTTCTTGTAGGAAAAGTGATCTTTATCAAATTGGGAGACTATCTAGGAGGAAATCTAGGATTAGATACCCAATCTTCCTAGAATTATGATTACATTGTCTAATCTCAAAGATAGCCTAATTTGACTTTAATTAGGGTTTTCTTACTTGGAAGACAAGTAATATCTTTAGTAGGCCTAAGCCTATCCCACGAGACTACATTCCATGGGCTTCGGGCATTCCGATCATTCTTTCCAAGTGCACAGGCCTAGGAATCATGTTCCCACAATATCAAACTAGCCCTAAAATTCATAGCCAAACCTTCACTCTTCTAGTATCCAACAGTGAATGGTGTTTGGATATTAGAATAGTGAGTGTTGTTCGCTAGAGATGGAAGGTTGGGCAATGAGGGAGAGGAAGGGTGTTTGGATATATATTAGAGTAGTGAATCTTTGGCAACTAGTTTAAGTTAAGTTGTTTGTGAGTTAAAAGGACACATGTCGTTTTATAATTGTTCCACATAACAAAGTTAGTATATTGGGTACGCCTGGTGAGTACCAAGTATTGTCCCTTTAAAATTTGTCATTTCAATCCACTCTTCAACCAACTCTTCAAATTTCATCTTTTACGTTAGAATATTACTTTATCTTATATTGTGAGGCCCAAATTTTATTTTCAAACACTTTACCAAACAATAATTTTGAATAAAGTATATTGCGGGACACAATTTGCTACCATGAAGAAGATTACAAAGTCAGTTACTAATTCTTTAATTTGTTAATTGGGTTGCTACTACCGCCATTAGAGATATGTTTTTTAACGTGGCATAGCAAATTTAACTTTGCTACCGAATTGTTACCTCTCTTACATATGCTCTAAGCTCTTACTTATCCATATGTACTTATCAACCGTTGAAAAATGTCAGTAAGATTTATTTTTAAATAGAAAAACATTCTATGGATATTTGGATATCGAAATTTGAATTCTACTAAATGGTTACTAAACATGTTTATCGATAGGATAAATTCTCTCTTGCAACTAACGCATAGTTTCAATGGTGATATATTATCTAATAAATAATTGTTACATGTTCAAAACTTATTCAAACCACTTAATAAATATTTACTATGTAGTGTCACTGATTGCATGAGAGTACCTGTCTACCAATATGAACAAAGAAATAAACGACATTGGATAAAGAAGTAAATGACATTGGATGAAGAAGTAAAAAAGAAAAAGCAGATCCAAAGCTTAAGTTGCATCATCATCGTCATCATGGATCATCGTATATACTACAACATTCTCTTTACACTGCATATCTTTTTCTAGAACATTCTCTTTAAACTACTATTTTTTCTTTGTTCTTTTAGTTCGGGCTTTTATTTTGTTTAGTAGAAAATTCAGATTAAAAAGTACGTGATGACTGATAACTTCTATGGTAGAGCACTTATAATTTCGAATCAAGGGTTCAATTTCGCATTCCTCTTGACCTCATTTGGACCTGAAACAAAGAGGGTTGTGATTTTAACACCACATTTAGCCATATGCCCTCCAAATTAAAATGAAAAAACAATATCCTTATTTTTTCACAGAGAGAGAGAGAGAGAGAGAGAGAGAGAGAGAGAGAGAGAGAGAGAGGCCTACAGAAGTCAAGCTTCCATGTCCCAATTGATGGAAAATTAGACGGAACAAGGAAAAGACATTACTCTCTGTAAGTTTGCATAATGACCATGTTCCTTTCTATTTGGTACAAATAAGGACAAGGATTTATATGGCAATGATACACCGTCACAATAGCGTCCCATGCTAATAATACAATGTTATGTATTAATATTTCTTCACGTATTCTTGTATCATTGACACAAGACGCGACCATGACGATGTACCTGTAGCATACAAGTTGCTCTTCCAAAATACAGAATGTGTTCTTTGTCAACTGTCTCAGGGTTGATAGGGACATTATCAGTTTAATTGTTGCTTGCTTGTTTATTGCCCATAGTTTTGAAGCAATAAGAGTTTGGACCAAACCAACAAATTAAATTTAGACTAACCTGGATATGGTAATCAAAAAGCAGATTAGATAAAGGTACTAAATTAAGGCCTAATCTGTAATTCTTTCAGGTTCTTCTTGATGAAAAGCTGCCTAAAAGTTGTTGATCCATGAAATCAAGTACTCATTATATCGCAAGTGGCCATTTACCACAGTGGTAAAAAGGAGTTGAGCCCTTGCATGATGGTATGGGTCGAACCCTATCAGTGGCTTATCTAATATCTAATCTAACAAAATCTATCATTTGATTAAAAAAAAAAAAAAAAAAGAAAGTACTCATTATATCCACCTTTTAACTTTCCAAACTATTTATGCTTTGCACATGTTTGGATCTCTAATGGAAGGAAAAGAAATTTGGTAAGACTTCCCTGCCAAGTAGTAAGTTGAGTATGAGAACCGTTGTTCAGTTAAAACATATCATGTACGACAATCTTTTAGTTATAACTAGAATTTTGTAGGCAACACAAATTTTTAAATGAACGTTACTTATCTCTCAACTTGTCACGTAACATGGAAGCAAAAAAAAAAAATTGTTCAAGAGCATCAAATTTAGGCCACCTTCAGTTCCTAGAATTGATCGGATAACATGCCAAATTCAAAGTATGTTGAAGTAAGAATCGAAGGCCTACTCTAAATTTGTCCATATTGAAGGGAGACTATGTATTAGTTATAAGATGTTGATACAGTGATTAATCCATCTGGCTTCTTTAACTAGACATAATGTAGTAGTTGACTTTCATTTCTTATTTCCAACATATTTTGAATCTAGTGAGCTATTAAATCCAATCCTAAACACCAACGTTGCCGTTATGGTGCATTTGAACGAGGGACTTTAAAATCCATGGAACTTAGCCCAACTTTATTCGGAATGCACCACAGAAATTAGATAGAGGACTCGAAAATAACTAACCGTGACACATTTGAGTGCAATGTGTCATTTGAAAGTATTTGTTTAGTGTTTTGTAGTGCATTTATAATGTTTTAGTAATAACTTTGTAGGGTTTGTATAGTTCACTGGTATTGTTCTCCTAATACATTTTTAACAATCGAGTTTAAAGTTTCTTGAGACCTTGAAAGTTCCTCGTCCAAACATAGGGTTTAGAGAATATCCCCTTTGCTAGTTTGTTTCTAAATAACCATAACAAAGCCTAAATAACCTAGAGCAAACAGCATGAATTCATGAAAGAAAAATATTTAACTCTTTAAATTCTCTACAACTTGTCATACATCGTTCTACTATAAAACACCGGCACCCAAACCCCCGGGTTGCCACCCCAAAAGAGGACATGTCACATATGCAAAAGCATGAAAAATTTGACAATACAACAGAGACTCCTACATACGTATGTGGTATGAAGAATATGTTCACCCACCAATGCATGTGATGCGTGCATGGGAATAGGAGAGGAGAGAATCCTCCTCTGTGAGTGCCCATGAAAATAAGATCATGGTCCCAAGGACTCCCCGACCGACACATGCTAGCCAGAATTCTGTCCTAATCTTAAGGATTCAATTTCATCCAAATGCAGAGATCCCTTGCATTTCAAGTTCTCTACAATTGAGTCACCAAAAAATGGTAAAGAAGTACTACAATTCTGCCAACTGCTTGCCATATTAGCAAAAATTGTTATGGACAAAGAAGTTAGGATGTGATAACGTCAATCATATCAAGTTATCAGGGTTTCACTTTTATCCCAGTAAAAAACTAAGCAAAGGTGGTAATGCAGGAAATCTAACAACAGAAAATCCAAATCACTCGACATGTTTCACTCGATATTATCTTTATATCATGCAATTAGCAGTTATAAGATACTTTACCTTATTGTGTTTTCCCTTAGGCCTTTGCACGGTAAATGAATAAATTGTTGAAGCAAAAACCGGAAAGCCCCAAGAATAAATACCCATGTCCACCTTGAACAACCCATATCAAGAAAGTCTGAGTTGTCACTTCACATTGATATGGCTCCTCCCATGTAGCAATATTCTAGACAAGGCATGATCTGCAACATTGGAAGCTGAAAAAGAATGGTTGCATGTGAAGCTGAGGCTTGCCGGAGTTGGTGAAAAGAAGCTACCCTGGGATGCCCCTCCTGGTCACTTGGCTGTAGTAGTAGGGGAAGCTAGATGAAGGTTTGTTGAAAGAGTGGATTTCCTGAATCACCCGGTTCTACAGCAGCTGCTAGACCAAGAATACGAAGAGTACGGTCATGGTAGCTCTGGCCCTTCAGCTATGCCATGTGACGAGTTTCTCTTTGAAAATAAACTTCACTCTCTTGGAGTTGGAACGAGCAGCCATCAATTCTCTTGCCCCTTCATGGCTTTCTGAGAAGTTCATCACGCTGCATAGAGATTATTGTAGCAGTGGTGGAAGCAGCAGCAACAGTTATCTGCGATTGCTATTATTTCTATTTTCCTAGAAATACCATTATGCCAAGCTAGCAGTAGACAGAAAGGTGCTGAATCAAAGAAGTGCATTAAGCATTTAAAAGACTGTTGCTGAAAATATATACATTATACTGGTGTTTTCATTTATTTACAGGTGAAGATGCAATCTCTTGTGTATAGGGAATAAGCAGTATGAGGTTTAACATTTATCCTTGCAAAGTATCTGTATCTTGTACAGAAATTAGACATCAAGGCACATCATAGGATTTAATAAAAGAAAACATATTGTTGCCAAAGCGCTTTTTCACCTTTCTCGAAGGGTAGAAGTTAGTTTAAATACTATACCCGATGATAGTAATTACAAACAACACGACGCTCAAAATCAGCTGTCGTTTGGAAGAATACATTTTAGATACAGCAATACCCAGGTTAACTAAATTACTAATCTAGGACATGCTAATTGACTATAAGCATAAAATACTCTGATGCTAAGGGGAGTGGTAACTTTACCCTACATTTCTGTTGTTGTATGATGATCTTTTACTTTTTAGCTCAAAGCTCGTTGGAGAATCTGAATATCTAATAGATTCCAAACGTTTTGAACCACACCACTTGATAGGGTATGATACACTTGTTTTGCTGCAGCACAATGTGCTTCTAGAACTTTGACATCACCAAACAGCTTTCTAAGAGCTTCTTCAAGTTCTAATTTTCCCCCAACCTGCAAGACCATTAACATAAAAAGCTGCAGAAATTACACAGATTTTTATTTTTTATTTTCTTATAAGCAGACAGAACAAATATTAATGAAATCACAGGTTCAGGTAGTTATTCCTAAGTAGAAATTATCCACAATCCAGACAGCCAGTACTACCGTGCAAAGGCCGTCTTCCCACCCAAAAGCAGGCTTGGTGCAGATGTTATGACTTATTTACAGAGACTAAAAGTAGCAACTAAAGCAACAAATGAAGCTAACACGTGTACATACATATGATTAAACTGAACGAAGCCCATTCTACCCACGCAGTACTAGATCACCTATTCGACATGTCTGCCTAAAAGCTTCGCCCAAACAGCTGAACAGAGAGTACAGGTTACACGTAACATTTAATGAATTTCCTATCTACATCCGATATTTCGATTCAAGTCTACTGAATAAAAAGGTAGATTTCTGATGTAAAAGAAAATTAAAACCAGAAAAGGATAAATAAAGAGTAATGCTATTCACGAATCACACACCCCTTTTTACTTCTCACATCTTGTTAATTTTGGTTCATTGATCTTCTTCAGTTCATTCGATCCAACGGCCGGAAATTGAGGAGGGGTGTGTGAGAGGTAAGAATAGGTGTGTGGATAGCACCACCCTATATAAATCACTATATATTGAGTCAAATTTCTGAAAAACCAACATAATTTGGAGGTATGAAGAGTCTCAACAAGTGATACTTTGAAGGACAAAGGATAGAGATTCTTCACACCTGCAGAACTGACAGAGGATTTAACCGTTGCATTTCCAGTACCATGATTGAAAAATGCCCGATGTAAGGACCTGATAAATGAAAATAGAAAAGCAGCTATCAATGGTATGTTAAGAACCAATAAATGCTGATCTGGTAGCAGCTACTCACCAGTCAAAGTTGCACAGCCTGCTGCAGCAGCTTCTGATATGTTATGGCCAGAAAGGCTAGGAAAGAAGGAACCTCCAATTACAGCTACAGGGGATAACTTATAAAGGTGTTTCAATTCACCTATAAATCAAGCAAAGAGAAAAAACATATAATGAAGTTAGGGAGAATGCTTTTGTGGAGCCACTGTACAAGGGGTAAACTATGAGAGTATGATTTCTGCGCAAGATTTGTCTAATAAGAATCATGTAGGGAAAAGATTTCAAAATATGCTAACCTAATGTGTCCACCACATATATACTTGTGTCTCCTAAGAGTTTATCACGTTGAGACCTCAACCCTACACCATGCCCTTCTTTCCACAATTTCTGCACTATTTAAGGCAATGTCATGAAATGAAACTAATAAATGTAATGTTCAATCATTCTCTTTTTTCAGGTAGTAAATCTCAATATAGTTTTGTGCCTTAAGAAAAATCAATCATATAGATACCATTTTTTTCTGTTAAACATCAATAAAATTGAATGCATGGCATACTTGAGCAATCTCTTTTCCATGATGTGGATGTCGAGGCACAATAATAGTTAACAAGTCAGGGTACTCTTGTCGCAGCACTTTGTGAATGCCAAGTATTACTGCATATAGTATTTGTGAGCTTTTCAACAGACAGAAATAATCTAGCAAAAGAATATTCTGATAAATGAATGCAAAAACATTTTTGACAATTCTTTAGATGAATGTCGCTACTTTAAGAAAAAATAATGGGTTAAGAAATGGAAGGTGAAATGAACAAAGCAAAACAAAAAGAAAAAAAAAAAACACACTAGTTTCTAGTTGAAAATGACATTGCAACACCAGTCTAGCACTAGCATTCACGTAATAAAATCATCGAGCACTTGTATGAAACTTTCAGAAACCAACGACTGCCAGTAATGAGGCAGCATGACATTGTATGATTCAGGTCAGGTCTCTAATAAAACTCTACATGTACATGACACAATATATGCAGTCCAGAACTTAAGGATAAGTAAGTAGCAAGAAGTAACCTTCTTCTTCCCCCTTATGTATGGAAGAAGCCATCCAAACCTTCCTGTGGGCACAGTGTACTTTTAAATCTTCCATGCTTTTGATCTCTCCCTCAGAAATGTCAAATTCTCCAACCACTGAACATTACAAGAAAAAATAAATAAATTCTAGGATTACGATAGATTATCACCTTCTTCAAGAGTTTCTATAATTTATAGTTATGAAACGATACCAGATTCAAAACACAACATTTAGACTTTCCAATTGACTTCCAAAAGGATATATACAAGTTTTCATTGTGAGACATACCATACTTCAAGTCACCAGAAAAGTTGATCACAAAAGGTGGGGCATGCAGCAGCTGAAAGTGGATGGCCTGCATATTGCTCTATGGCGTGCAAGAAAAAGAGTGAGAAGACAATTGAAGACACAGATTACTCAATGCAATCTGTAGTGGTACTTACCAATGGGGAGATCAATGAAAACTTTGATAGCATCAATGAAATAAGAGGAAGAAGCGCTGGTCCTGACCAACGTTTAAAGGATTTAGTAGATACTCGAGCATTTAACAATGCCAGCATGATCTGAAAAAATATGAATCATATAAATGATCTAAAACCAACTGCACTTTACGTATTCAAGTTATAGGTAGCCAAGCTAAGCAATAATTTGGATGCAAATAAAATTAAACGATGGAAAATATTTTCTCATTTAGAGTAAACCTAAAAAAATAACTGAGCTACGCTTCTAAGTACTAATTGGGTGTTATTACCATCATTATCATTCAAAAAATACACTCACATAATTTAGTATATTCACAACAGGATAAGATAACTTACACCCTTTTCTGAAGCAGCCATAATTAAATTTGGCCATAGTTCACTCTCCATAAGCACAATCACATTTGGCTTCCAGTAACCAAGGAATGAGTCCACAGCAGAAGGTGTATCAACCGGCGCAAACTTGATCAATAGAAAGTTGAGTGTGACACAATCAGAAATATGCTATCGTTACTTTCAGTTAAGACATAGAGAACAATAGTAATATTCATCGTCACCATAAGGACACCGATAGATGAAACCAAGCATTGTTTCCAAATTCCCATCTATTACATAAGCTAGTAACATATCTATCTCTATACTCTATACAACATATAAATGTATTCAATTTGTTAACCATTCCAGCTGCACTGTATTAAAATTGTAGGTAGAAATTAGGCGTTATGACCCCGAATATAGTGTTACATCTAATGATTGAATTGATCAGAAAAATCTATCGAATTTTTGAATGCTGCGAAAGTCACGAATTTCGCAAAATACAAACATATATTTATTAAAAGAGTACCTGATGTAAGACACCAGTTGGAAGACGTTTCTCTATTACTCCACTGCAAATGTAGCGAAATGAAAAATTATAAATAAATTCAGAATTACACGTTAAATGGGGAGATGAGTTTTGTTCTTACAACGCAGATGACGTCGTAGTGGTCATCAGAATAGTTAAATCAGGCCTCCGCTGAATGCATTGCTTGATCACCGGAATCGCAGCCATTCCTTCACCTGGGTCCAGTTTTTAATTACGCCACAATAATTAATCACAATTAAAGATTGATTAAGCTCAATATCTCTATATTATTTTCCCTCCACTTTCCCGGTAACCAAACAGGGGGAACGGAGATGAAATTAACTGAAGGAATGACATAGATTGGATTGGATAGGATGGGAGGAAACCTAATGAGACGGCGTGGAACCAGATGAGTGGGCCTTCGGGGCGAGGGAGGGAAGGTCGGCCCAGACGCTCACGCCATCGGAGTGGGTGCTCGAGGCCTCGGAGTTTCCGCCAGTGGAGGTGAAGGTACAGCAATGGTGATAGACCATGGGTCAGCGCTCTGTAAACATTGTAGACTGCCTTGCTCTTCTTTGCCGCCATTTCTCTTCTGTAATTTTCTTTCACTGAGCAGAATTGCAGAGTACATACGGACTTGGTTCGTGGGCCAGACCCAGAAGTTTTTCGTTTTGGGGCAGCACTTTGTGATTGGGCCCGTATAAAATCTTCTGCACAAAGCTAGCCGAACACCATTACATTGTTAAGAACGCGATTTCTAAGGTGCGGACAGAGATTTGCGGACAGTGCCTGCGGATAGAATGTGGACTGTAGGATTAAATTTGAACGGTTGAAAATGAATCCATCAGAAAGGGCTTAGTGTAAAACCGGGTTAAAAAAGATCTGTGAGTTAATGAAAACGGTATCTGCAAGAATTCAAAAAATTAGGGAACTAAACTCTCCCCCTCCCTCCCCACGACAACAACAGTTGAAACCAGAAGCAACAGTTGAAACCTTAAAATTTTCTTCTCCTCGCAAAAATCTCCTTCTCATCCCAACATCGTGCTCATTCAAAACCTTGGTAGTGTTCGAAAAGTTTGTTGCCGTTTGAAACCTAGTTGGAGTATTGTTGTGATTCTTGTCTCTAGGCTCAGTGCACTTCGACATTCAAACATCTTTGGTTTGAGGGTTAGCAGTTGCTTACATGGAAAAAATTTCGGTGGTTCCTTGATTGGAGTGGGTTTAGAGTCATTGTTTCCGCAAAAGTCGATGACAAACTCGACTCCGGAAACTAAATTTGAAATTTGGAACCCTAGAAAATAATTTCATTATATATGTAAAATTATGTACTTTTTTTTAGTGTTTATGGTTAATTATGCAAGTGGGTTGATGAAATTAGTTGATGTGGAAGTATATATTTGGTGAGATGTAGGTTTATGAACTGTGGTTGACAGGTTGTGTACACGTTATATGTGCTTCAATTTGTTTTGTTGAATTTATATTGTTGAGTTGTGAATGATTTTTGTCGATGAATCTTTGTTAATTTTATGAATTGATTTGGTATTTCTTAACTCATGAAAGTATGTTCATAGTAGATGTATAGCTATGAGAACTTGTTGTGTCAATGATAAACATTGTCGTATTTGGTTGTTCTCAGGGTATATGTTGTTCAATTTGGTTGTCATGAATGCTTGTATTATTATTATGTGTACAGGAGATGGCAAATAAGGTGGTTGAACTCGCAACAAAAGAGGAAGAATCTTATAGGGGAAGGGTTAACAACCTTTCTTAAGCTAGTCATGTCCTAGAAGTCTTGTGTCACAAGTTTAATGATGCACATCTTGCTGATTTTAGGTCCTTATACTTTGGACACTTGGAGAGTGTCGATAGATTAACCTTTAGTGGGTAGCTGGTGCATGAATTGTGGATCCGTAGAGTGGCAAATTAGGGGGTGAAAGACCTAGAGGGACTCACATATTTAATAGGCTATGAGGTTACTCGGTTCACAAAGAAGGACTTTTGCCTCATTACAGGGCTTCATTGTGACGAACCTTATAGGTTAAACCTTCCAACATTAGGCTGTTGCCTAAGTATTTTCCTCAAAAGTTTGGTTTTGTTGGAGATAGTAGCAAGGGTAAGGGTAAGGGTGTGAAGGGCAAAGGTGAAGTGAAGATTGCCCCCAAGAAAGCTACCAAAAAGGTTTTAGTGACATGTGCCAAGCTTGAAATGGTGTTTAAAGAATGAGGATGATGCGTTGAAGATGAGACTGGTTTGCTTCACCGAAGGTGTGTTGAGAGGGGTGAAGAGTAATGTGGGTGTGAACCTAGAGTACTTGGACCTCGTGGAGGACATAGATAGGTTCAACACTTATACATGGGGTGAGGTATCATTCGAATAACTACATGACAGCCTCTGTTTTGCTGCTGCTAGGAGAGGGAGAGGAAGATGGGATGGTGATGTGGAATGAGATGAGGAGGATGAAGAGGAACAACCGAGGGGAAGTAAAAGGAGGCAAAGATTCAAATGGTGCTACTAAGAGTTTAGTTATTCCTTTTAGGTACAATTTGTTGGTTTGATTGAGTACTAATAAGGGTCAAGTTGTTGTGATTGTGGTAAGCACTAATTCAGTGTACGTGCAAATGTAGGCATACAAAATAATTGCGCAACTGGAGAAGCCACTTCGTTATTGCAAGATGACTGATCCTGTAGCCATCCCAAGAATTCCTCGGTGGTCAACAAAGAATAAGTAGCCAATTAATGAATAGGTCTAGATGTACATAACTAAGAGCTGAGAGGTATGGCCTTATTTCAAAAGTTATGAACTTTTATGAAGGATTGTGAAAATATTTGAATATCTATGTGAATTTTGGAGAATGTTTTTGAATGTTTATGAATGCTTGTTTTGAGAAATGTAATTGTGATGACTGGCGATAAATGACAAGCGGTGGGGAAGAAAAAGAAGAAGAAGAAGAAGAAGGTGGTTGTGGGGATGTTTGGCCCATGAAAGGATATTTTTCAGAGGAATGTGTTGAAGAAGGTGGAAGATTTGATGGAGGAAGAAGAAGAAGAAGAAGAAGTTGAAGGTGGTTGTGGGGCATTTGGCCCACGAAAGGATATTTTTCAGAGGAATGTGTTGAAGAAGGTGGAAGAGTTGATGGAGGAGGTGAAAGCATTGATGAGGGAAGTTAAGGAAGAATAGGAAGTAGTAGTAGAAGAAGAAGAAGAAGAAGAAGAACAAGAATGGAAAAAAGTAGGTAAAAAATAGGAAAAAGAAGAAGAAGATGGTGGTGAAAGTTGCGGCAGTGCATGAAATGATCTCCAGGAAACCAAAGAAGAATTAGAGGGTGGTCAAAAACGAGGGTGAAAAAGGCAAATAGGAGGAAACCGAGGGATCAAAGAGGGAAGGAAATGTGTGGAGGAAGTAGGTTTCTAGGAACTTGTAGGGACTGCTCATTTGGAAAGTCTCGCAGATGTGTGCCATATGGTGCTTGCACTGGTCGGAGAAAGGATAACGCACAAGAACGCAAAAGTTTAGAGTTCCGATGATGATGTTGTTATTTACACACTTGAGGGTGAGCACATTGGAACGAAGAGGAAAGTTCACTACACTGGGGCGGCGGCAAAGATTGGGTCACCAAGGGAGGAGCCAAGTAAAAGACCAAAGTGGTGCATTACACGACATTGATATTTGACGTGACAAAGTGCAAAAAAATCCAAGACGGTGAGTTGAGGGAACATGTTTTGCAAAGGGGAGCGGCATTTAAAGCAATAGACTCAGGCTATGTGGTTGAGGCACTTTAGTATTTCTATCAATTCCATAGTTTGAAGAATGCTGGGAACAAGTAAGTGATCATTGTGTCCTGCTTTTGGTGCATTAGAATTTATATTCAATAAACGACTATAATGATGATGATCAATGTTTTTTTGTTACATTGTTACTCCGATTGCCCGTTTGAGAATATTACGGCAGGAGACAAACTTTTGGAGATTGCTCATTGACAAGGAACAGTGGTTGTCAATCGATGTAAGTCCATAAACCCTGTTCTTGATGGTGTGTTTCCATACTGTTGGGATTGTGTTGGTGTGAAAGTTTAAGTAAAAATTGTGCATTTTAGCTCAATCATTTTCAATTGTATCTTCTTCAGAAGCATGGCGAAGAGGCTCGGAGGGTAGGGACAATGTTGAGCACCAACACAAAAGATTGGTTTCTGGTAAACTATCCAAGATAATCTATGCTAATTATGTAAATATGTGCAATTCTGATGTTGAGTATGATTTTGGGCAGTAAAAGTGTTGTACATGTCTTTTACTTTATACTTTGACTATTTACAGATATACTGTTAGCGCGAATCGTGCACTCCATTCTTACTTGTCATTTTGAAAACGGTGGAGGGGGATGAAAAGCTATTATCTACATCTTTGTTGGTCGAATCATGTCATGCCCCTTAACATTGATAACCATGGTTGCTATCAAGATGAACTTGAAAGCTTTAAGAATCATTGTGCATGACTTCTTGAGATCAACAACGCACTCCGAGAAAGCGACGATGAAATTGGCTCCAATTTCTTATGTGTTACCTGATGTCCTTCGAAGCGTGTTGATGGAGGTGAAGGAGGGACTTTGGCCCCATCGTTGTAAATCGAAGAGGTCCATAACAAAACAACGAGTCAGTTAAAAATTTATTGAATTGTTAGTTAAGTTAAATGATTGAATTGTGTGTAAATTATTTCTGAAACTTGTTGGTGGCATGGGGAGACTGTGGGATTTTCACTTTAAAAGTGATAGAGTTCTTGTCTACTGGTCTTCCTCTCGATGTTATTAAACCGCAAAATGTCCCTGCATTCCGATTAAGGAAGGCAGTTACATGTTGCATAAGGTGCATAATGTCTAGGTGGTGCTGGATAACTCAATGGTTGTCGATGTAATCTTGTAGCCGATAAAACAAGTATTATATTGTGAATATGTGGTGATGCATATATTTTTATTTTGTTAAGACAAGTTCCATTAGTTGGGATGAATATTAATTGAGGTGTAAGTCTTTCATTGTGGATGATGTTACATTATTTGTCCATTTATTTACTTGGTGTGGATGAATTTAATGGGTTTGGGGATGCTTTGATTATCTCATTCCAGATTATTTGTTGTTATGGGTCAGTTAAGTGGAATGAATTTGAAAGTCACTTTTTCAAACCATCCCTTATGAATTGTGAAAGTGTGTGACAATTTATCAAACCTTCATTATACGATATGAATATTTGTGAACCATAATGTGTACCTAGAGCAAGTTGGTGTACCATGAAAGGGTCTTCCTCAAATAAGTTAGACAGTAAAACAGATTCAGACAAAGTAAATTTGAAATAAATTTCAATTATTTGTCCAATTTTGTACTTGGTGTGGAAGAATGTAATGGGTATGGTGATGCTTTCATTATATCCTTCTAGATGATTTGTTGTTATGGATAAGTCAAGTTGAATGAATTTGAAAGACAATTTTTAAAACCACTATTTATGTGTTATGAAACTAGGTGACAGTCGATGAAACTATCCTTATCTGTTATGAATTTTTGTGATGGAGTAGTAGGAAATGGTCATGCACAAATAATACGAGACAATGAAACTGAAATTGTCAAAATAAATTGTAAAGTACACAGCGATGGAAACATCCTACATAACACACTAAAACTAACCTTCTTAAACATAAACATTACAA